GACTGGGTCGACTATGTGATACCCTTCACCACTTTGGGTATATTCCTAAAGTCGAAATTATATATGGAAGCTATGCTATATCTATATCTAAACCGATTTCAAGGAAACTTATCAGAGATGAATTTATATTAACTTCAGTACATTGTGTCAATCCGATTAGCTATGGATCTTTAGTGCACCGTTTACTTAAAATCGATTTTCACGAAACTTTGCACACTTCATTCTAGACTCAATTTAGTACGCTATCCCAAAACGAAAGATATATGGGGACTTTGGTGCACTATTAACATATAACCGGACGAAAATATATATGGGAGCTATATCTAAATCTGAACCGATTTCCACGAAACTTTGCACCCATTGTTCTAGACTTAATGTAGTACACTATGCCAAAATTCGTGCAAATTAAAGGATTTGCAGGGACTTTGGTGCACTATTTATATAAAATCGGGCGAAACTAAGGAGCTATATCCAAATCTGAACCGGATTTTCACTAAACTTTGCACACATCATTCTAGACTCAATTCAGTACGCTATGCTAAAATTCGTCAAAGACTTTGGTGCACCATTTACCAAAAATCGGGCGAAAATATATATGGGAGCTATATCTAAATCTGAACCGATTTTCAGGAAACTTAACACACATCATTCCAGGCCTAATTCATTACGCGGTGCCAAATTTCGTGCAAATCGGAAGATATATAGGTACTTTGGCGCAGCATTTACATTAAATAGGACGGAAATATATATATGGGAGCTATATCTAAATCTGAACCGATTTTCCCAATTTCAATAGGGTTCGTCCTTGGGACAAATAAGCGACCTATGCCAAATTTCATCCAAATTGGATCATAAGTGCGACCTGTACTTTGTTCACAAAAATACATGGACGGACGGACAGACGGACATGCGTAAATCGACTCAGAAAGTGATTCTATGCATATTCTTAAAAGGAACCACGTGCCTATTTCGTTTCCTTTTGCCTGTTACAAACATATGCACAAATATCCATATACCCAATAAGTGGGTATAACTCCTTTGCACTTAATATCAAGCCGTTTTTATTAAATTTTAAAGTTTGGCTCTGCGTTCTATATGCACATTTCTACACATGAGTAGAAAAAAACTATTCCCACATATTCGTGAGAATTTATATTTTATGGTGTCAGTTAAATTTAAATAATTTACTATGCACTAATGTTAAACAAATATTTGTTCTATAATTCCCACTTCGACGTCAACTGTGGTTATGCTTAAGAACCATTATTATTATCGTTGTTATATTAAACAATAACATATTACGTATTTCTTTCACCTTATGAGAATCTAAATTTTGGCATCCCTAATAAGTAAATATACCTAAAGCGCAACGCCTAAAAGTATGCATTAAAAAAGAAACCAATGTTGCTGAAGTAATGAAATAAACCAAGGTTTAATCATAAGGTTAACCGAATAAACAAGTAAAAACGATGTTCATGTATGTGGAAGTATGTAGAAATATGGACCTAATTGAGCAAACATACCACTTGGTATGGTGCAGCACAGTGCCCTGTCCACAATTTTATCTCGTGTATTTACATAAAATGGGACGAAAATATATATGGGAGCTATATCTAAATCTGAACCGATTTTAACAAAACTTCACAGACATCAATATGGACTTAACTCAGTACATTGTGCAAAATTTTGTTTGAATCGGACAAATATTGAGATCTTGATGCATCATTTACAAAAAATCCGACGAAACTATATATGAGAGCTATATCTAAATCTGAACCGTTTTCAACAAAACTTCACAGACATCAATCTGGACCTAATTCAGTACGCTGTGCAAAATTTTGTTTGAATCGGACAAATACTGGGTTCGTCCTTGGGCCAAATAAGAGAGCTGTGTCAAATTTTATCTAAATCGGCTCATAAATGCAATATGTAATTTGTTTACAAGAACACAGGGACAGACGGACGGGCAGACAGACGGACATGCATAAATCAACTCAGAAAATGATTCTATGCATTTTCTCAAAAGGAACCATGTGTCTATATCGTTTCCTTTCGCCTGATACAAACATATGCACGGAGACATAATACTCCTGAAGGGTATACAAATTGTTCGTACGGAAATGTGTTATACAATGAGAACCCAAAATACAAAATTACAGTCAATTTGGTTGGAAAACTTGCCCAAATTCACCAAAAAAACCGAAAATTGGGGGTACCGTTATATGGAGGCTACACCAAAACGTGGAACGATCTATCCCATTTTTAATTCCAAACATCCTAGGAGTATTAGCAATGTCTTTGTATAACTTCAGAGCTCTATCTTAAATATTGCGAGCTCTATATCGTGATTTCAACAGACGGGTACATTGTGGGGTCTCCGGTGAACATTTCGATGTATTGCAAACAGAATGACAATAATATACACTCCACTTTATGGTATAAAAATAGGGGAAAAATCTTCACGGATTGGATTTATCGTAGTTCATAGGATAGCTATGTAGGTTCAGAACAACATATTACAATTCGGATTTAATAGTTTTTGAGTCCACCAATCGTAAAAACGCTGCTTTTAAAAGAATGCGTTTAAAGTTTGAGAAGCACTCTTGCCGTTGCCTGATGCCGACACAATAAGTCGGCTATTGAGCTTTTCACTTGAAATTTTAATGAGACACTCTTCAGAGTGGCTCAATATGGGGGCTGCCCTTAACCATGTCCGTCTGTCTATTGAAATCACGATGGTGCACCTATATGGTACAGAACTGCCACTTCTGTATTCGGGCAGAGGAAGCTCCTTTCGTGTCAGCGGGTCGTCATGTTAGCGTGCTTGCCAGTGTGTCACACTGTTTCAACAGAGGCGTTGCAGGTGCTGCTTGGCGCCACGCCGCTTGATCTTGAAGTGAAATGTAGGGCTATCATGTATAAGCTTAAGCGTGGTTTACAGTTGGATGAGGATAATTGGCTCAGGCCTTTTGATCTGGTGGATGGGGAGGGTAGGCGGTACAGAACTTTCCTTCGGGATTGTGTTGTTGATAGGTGGAGGACAAGGTGGACGAACAGTGACAAAGGGAGGGTGACGTACGAATTTATTCGTGACGCAACGTTCGTAGTGGACCGGACAGACTTTCGCTTTGGCTTAAGTACTGGTTTCTTACTGGGGCATGGCTCTCTCAATGCTTTTCTCCATAAAAGAGGCCTGTCCCAGACGGATTTATGTGGGTGCGGGATGACCGAGGTATGCTTCCAGTCCTCGGTCATCTGACGGAACGCTGTTACTATGATGACATTAGAGATTTAGCAAGTATGGGTATATCGAATGGAGGGGCGGGGTGGGATTTCAGTAGGGCACTTGAAGGCGATCGGACCTTTAGTTGTTTAAGTAGTTTTGCTCGTGAAGCATTTAGGAGAAGGACGGTACTTAGTGGAGGTGGTCGTCGTGTATAGCCCCCTTGCAGTTGGGTTTGGTTGGTTGCACCGGGCGGTGGTGGGTAGGTGCACCGGGTGGCGATGCTAGTCTTGGTGCGGTTATCGGCGGTTGTTGGCAGTTGTAGGTGGTGTACGTGCTGCCTACGGTGGGTGGTTCGTGGTTTCCACTTCATGTGCTTCACTCGTCCTTTGGATGTAGTTCAATGTTTGTATTGTGATGTCCGATGCCGCGGTCCTTTGGGCCCTTTGTGCAGTCCGTGAGAACAGCATGTTAATTGTTTGTGATTTGCGTATTTGTCACTGCTTTTGGCCAGGTTTTTCCTTGCCACTTGCGGTTATCCCCGTTGCTTATTTTTGTTTTGGGATACCAGCCCGGACGTGTGTCGAACTGGGAGAAGCACCAGTCTCGAGCCTGAGCGGAGATTTTCCATACCGCGGGTGTCAGGTGCCCCTGGATCTGTCGATCCAGCCTGACAGTTGGTGTGACCCCCTGGGGAGCTTCGCGGGGGTTGTGGTTTCGCCAAGGTGAGAGTGTGCCTTCTGCATGCTCTCCGTTTGGTACAGTACTTCGGTGCTGGTGCGCTGGTGGGCGCTTTTCCGCCTGTGGCTCAGCCACTTTGAGGTAGGGCAATAGGCAGGTACTCACATAAAACTCTTCATGATACTGTTGAAATCACGATAAAGTTCGCAATATTAAATATTTGCACACTACTCCATTTCTACTACTCATAAGGTGATTGGTATTACAAATGGTATATGTCGGTCCACGTTTTGGTATATCCCCCCATATACACAATATTCTGCATTTTAGACTCGTTTTTCAATTGCTTTTGTTGTAATTTTGCGATTTAATTATGGAAAGCCTTCTTACTAAAAATAATTTATTGATCCACTTTTTACGGTAGACCACATAAAACCGTACCTTCTAAATTCCGGTATTTTTTGGGTAGAACCCTTTTATTCCCATTATTTAAAAAATCCAGCCGAATTGACTTTAATTTAATATATTGGATTCTCATTTTGTGTACAATCTTTCTATATTTTGGAGTAGCTCTCTTATAAAGGTTTCGCCCCATTTCCGAATTTTACATTTTTCAACGAAGGTAATTCTAATCATTCCGAGTTCTATTAGCGTGAAAACATCTTTCTAGAAAATAATGATCCTCCAACTTTCGGCATTTGTAAGGTTTTATTCCCTAAGGCGCTGTTATTTCACTTTCCGGAATCATGTTGTTTAAAAAACCTTATTTCCAGAATGTTTTGAATATTTACGTTTAGCTTCCATACAAATCACCCTCTTAATTTTCGGTACTTTTAGGTTCCTGTCCCAGTTTTCCAACCTGAGTGTCTGTAATTTTGTAAGTCATTATCCCAAATGAAAACTTTACTAAACATTTAAAAACAATTTAATTCCCAGGTTTTTAATAAATATTCAACGTTTTTTTAAAAAAATATTCAACGGGATGACTCATAGCTTAGAATGATGGCTCATTGCAATTAGAGTGATGGGATTACAATATATAGTTATATATGTTTTACTAAAAATATATATTATATTTTAACATTTATTTTTCTTATTATGTGCAATGTTTATGCCTCAACACAGTAATATAATTCCGCAGATACTTGGCAAAATCGATCATGGCAGTTGTAAACCCCTACAGAACCAAATAAATAACAAATCTATTAAATATAATAATGATATGCTGAAATGCCTTACCTTATCTACAACATAACCTGGTAAACTACTTTTCAGATCGATACACATAATCCACTCAAATATGCACTCGTTGGGATCTTCCTCCACTTCATGCATAACAAAGGCCGATAGTAAATTATGTCCTCTAATATATTTGGAATTTGTGGGCAACTCATTACGTTCCACACTACATGCAGCAGCAATCCATACACGGCGCCCGAAACTTCGTGGATGCTCTTTTATAGCTCTTAATGTGTTTTCGGATTCATTCCGAATAACATTGTTGGCACAAAATATTCTAAGACGATCCTGTTCCTCGCTATTTAATATCAAACTTTCATTGCTTAGTTTTCCATCTTCTATTAGACAAGACGATCTAAGATTAACGAAGTCTCGTGACTTGATTAAACCACCAACATGCGAGGCAGAAACATGATAGGTAATATCACTTCGATCATTAAAAATCTGCAGGGAAAAAAGATAAATACAAAAACTTATGACTGTTTGGTGCCATCTTACCTTGAGTTTGATAGATTCTAATACGGTAGGGTTCCACTTCGGTATATCGGCAACGTCATAGAGTAGTGCATTCGCCAATGCCTTTGCAGGATATTTTACATGACACTATAAAATTGATTTAAAAAATTGTTCTCCTTAATTGTCTCTTTAAGTATCAATGAAAACGATTATTTTCATTTCGAAAAATTACTCACTCTCAACTTATAAACTTTTCCCAATCGCGAATCTTCCAGGCTACTGACAGTGTCACATTCTTTAGTTTTCTTAATCAATTTCCAATCCTCCGATAACAATAAATCATAAACGTGTCGCACGCAATCTAGACCCAATCGTTGATATTCATCCTTTTCGAGGTGTATAGTTTTGGCTCCCGTAATTGCTGCCACACAACGAAGACATAATTTTGTAAACATTCCGAATTTGTTTTTGCAATCTTCCGCTTTAATCGGTGTTATGTATATAAAAATAAAGTTATAATTTTAACTGAGTAGCACTTATTACTTAATTTTTGTAACAAAGATCCAATTTGTGATTCACCAAACGTGTGTTTATAATTGACATAAATTAAATTTGAATTACAACACGTGAATTCCATTTGTTATATGTATGTAATATTGTATTCAATTGTTAAGCAGTAAGTAAAGGCTTTAGACGAACCAGATCGACATTGTGATACCATATACAACTACCATTTTCGATCCCATGACAATCGAATCTATGTTCAGTCAGGAACCGTCAGCACAGGTGAACAAATTATGACGGCAGCTTGAATCTCAACCTGTCTTTTCATTGCTGGCACTTTTTGATTTTGGGAGTAACATATCCGTATTCTTATGGTACGTGCCGGGATCAAACAAAACCCATACCGTGGTTCGGTTCGGTTTGGATGTAATGGGTGAAGGGAGTGGGTGCACTACACCGAAAGGGATTACGTTGCCTCGTGTAGCTACAGCGCAATCCTACTCCTGATGGTGTATCGTTTCTGCAATTTAATTTCAATGGTCTTCGAGTAAAAATAGACGAGATAGTGGACTTTATCAATCAGAAGAATATCTTGGTTGCGTCGGTGCAGGAAATCAAGCTCAATACAGCGTTGTGAGGAAGGATCGCACAGGTGGGGCCTAGCATTCCTTATGCACCACTCTGTTCAATACAGCTTATCTCGCTTGAACTTAACATTAGTGAGAGCAGTTAAATGTGGTACTGCCGAGGTAGAGATGCTTAACGTGTACATACCCTCCATTAATAGCTGTCAAGTGCGTCACAACACCTCTCCATTATCGTCTCCATAAGCAGACCTCCCGATTTCATCATCTCTGAACGCCGCGCTTTCTTTAACCATAGGAAAGCCAACTGGCAAAGATTCTGAGAGTTAACCAACCAGCACTTCACTGAACTTTCCATTCCTTCTGATGTACGGGTAGCAAACAAAATAAAGGAACGTCCTTACGGCTACAGGCGCCAGATTTGTACCTGCTTATCGAATACCAGAGATAAGACCTAATTTCCCAGCAGAAGCAGTTGGTCTAGCAAATGAGACGGATGAGATCCTTCGACCTAGCCCAGCAAATCCCAGGGTCAAAGAACTTACGTTGGGGGTCAGCGGAGCATAAGCAGAATAAATGGTGGGAGCACCTGACGGCGAAACTGCCTGATATTTTAACAAGCAGTTTTTTGAGCATGTCGAGAGCAATAGGGCGAAGCGAAGAGTAGTATGTCGTATAAGATATCTTCCCGCCGAGGAGACACCACCACAGTTTACAAATGGGTGATGTTGCATGTGTCATTCGTAGCGCAAAGCAGTTAAGTGCGTGACCAAAGACCTTAATTTGTCGAAAGCCACCCATATTCCTCCCATTCCCGAAGCCTGGACAATGGTCAGATTGGTCACGCTACTAAATCCATGCAATGATGTCAGTAAATGTGATTTATATAAGCAGATTTCATTTGTGTCGCCAGTAGTAAAGACTCTTGAGTCATTAATTCACACCTGTATTATCGAACTCAGCACAACATCTGGACGGTCTGGTTTTTTATACGGATCCAACATGGAAGAAGGTACATACGCTGGCATCTACTGTGAAAGACTAGGCTTTGAGCTTACCTACAAGTTGGATAGAAATGGTATTGTTTTCCAAGCTGAAATCTTCACGATTTGGAAGGCAGCAGAATTGATAAAAAGTCTGAATACAGATATCGTTGAACCGGTGAATTTATTTGTGGATAGTCAGATGGCTCTCAAAGCCATCAAATCATCTAACAAGCAATTTGAGGCGTTCTTTGACGAACGAACCAATGAACTTTGACACAACGAACCTATGTGCAATGTCTCAAGATTTATCTAAATTTAAATAGGAAGCACAATTTAAGTTCATTGAATGTATCAATACGGGTTATGTATTATGTATGTACTACCTTCTCTTAAGAATTGCCAAATCTCACAATTGATTAAGCTGGGTCTGAAAGAGTTATATTAGTTTTGATAAATACAACTTTGAAAAGCAAATCCTTCATATGATTCTCCCTCGGTTTTAAAACATTTCAACTTTTGTTTCTAAATCTTCAGAGATGTTTTTTATATCAATCGAATTTTGAACTCCTTCGATGTCCCTTTAATACCACTACACCTTTTAATATATATAAGAGAATTGGATAAATAAATTTTGTAATAAAATATTTTTATTGTTTAGAGCTTATGAAAATTATAATTTACAATTTGCGATTAATTATATGCTAATAAAAGAGAAAACAATAAAAAACGATATAAAAATGAAATATACACATGTGAAATACGAACAAATATTTTTATAAATCCAAAGAAGAAGGAAAAAATGAGAGATACTTAGAGAAATAATGCGAATCAGTTCTTTTTTTTTTAATATATATTTTTTTTCTTTTACTTGTCTTTTACAACAAATAGGCCTTTCGAATGATGTGTTTTTTGGGAGTTGTTTTTTTTTTTTGGGCAATTTACTTAATAGTAGAGCTTAAACCAGCAGCGGGGGTTTTTAGTAAAAAAAAACTATACATGCTTAATTTCTGGGCAATGTGCGGCGTCGACGTCGTTCACGTAATTCTTTAATATATTTACGTAAATATGTTATATAATCTGTCATGAATGTTGTATAGGCCTGAAAAAGAGGAGGAAGAAGAAATGTGTAATTCGATGAAAGTTGTTTATTTGTCCTCAATAGCTTACCGAATCCAACACATAACGTGGTATATAGCCCTTTAAATCAATACACAATATCCATTCGAATATACAAACATCCGGATTGGACTCCACCTCATGCATAGCAAAGCCGGATACAAGATTTTCACCTCTCGTATATTTGGGATATACTGGTATCTTATCATATTCCACACTAATGGCAGCATTAACCCACACCCTACCTCGTGCAGGTGGTTTTACAGGTTCTTTGCTTTTTGTTGCCACCACCACTGCCACCTTTTCCTCATCTTCAATGTGATCTTTAGCATCTTCGAATTCATCATCTAAAGGTGGCGGTTCGGTATTCAATGTTAACTGTAAAACATCTGAAAAATCTTTGGCTCCCAAACTTTTACTCAGCGTATTAAATGCTCTGCCGCTATCGGGCATATTTGTAGCACTACTAGTACGGCAACTACCAACACTGCTGGGCTGGGGTGTTATTGTACCCTCACCATCGGATATTGTGGAGACACTACCTTCACAGGAATTATTGAGCATTTCTTCATCGGATGAGCCAGGGTCTAAACTACTTTCGTCACAGATTTTACCATCGACGACCAGACGCCAGCAGCGTAAATTAACAAAATCACGAGATTTGATCATACCACCACCACTGCCGGCAGAAACATTGTACGTTATATCGGTATAGGAATTTATTTTCTGCAAAATCGGAATGAAGAATGCAATGAATTTAGAAATTAATAGTATCGAAAATAAATTGTATTGATTACAATTGAGCAAATCAATTCAATGAATCAGGCTATCATTGAAATTTACTTTTATATTTTTTTATGTTAAAAATCCCATTTACTTACCCTAACCATTTTAGATTCTAATGTTGTTGGATTCCACAGTGGCATATCTTCAATTTTATAAAACAATTCATGACATAATGCCTTGGCAGGATATTTTAAACGACACTGTAATGGAAATTTTATATATTTTTTTTATTAATCTATTTTCTCAAATATAAAACGAATCGGCATACCGTTAGTTTATAGATTTTTCCCATTTTCTCACGATGTATACTGCTAATGGTATCACCTTTCTTTGTTACCTTTTCAACTTTCCAATCGGAAACATGCAACAGATCATACGTTCGTCGTACACAATCTAAACCCATTTTATGGTAGTCTTCGTCCTGCAAAATAAACAAAAAATAATATAGTAGGGAAAATCTTACATTAAAAATTATTTTAATAAAAATTCTTTCTGTAATAAAAATATTGATCACCTATTGGCCCAAGGACGAACCCTATTGAAATTGGGAAAAATCGACTTCCGACTTTACTTTTTGCCTTACTGGTTTAGAATTGGGATAATTCAAGCAACTTTCCAAATATCAGGAATTACCAACTTTGAAGACGATAATTCAAAGATTTAGGCCTTATAAATCAGCCCTATTGCATCATGCTTGTTGAAAATGAACATGGAAATGCTGTCTGGACCAAGGGCTTTGGATGCCTTGGAGACATGCAGCCCCTGTCGCTGGATGTAAATGACAGGGGCTGCATGTCTCGTTTAAGATTCAACACCGATTTATTCGTTTGATGATTGTGTATTCAAAATGGAAATTCAAACCCAAAATATATTCTAAAACGTAGTCTTTCCACCTGTATCATTCATCTGATTTGGTAACTATTATTATCATTCTTACCTTTTCCTCTTCTTCATCACTATTGTGTGCCGAATCCAAAGGAGAATAAAAATCAACTACACTATCAGCTGGACGACGTTCATTTTGTGTCGATAAAAATGGCGCCATTAAAGGTGAACGATCTGTAGATGATGTCATGGCTGGAAATATTCATAAAAAATAATACATGTATAATTTAAAGATTAGCATAAGAAATTATAAATATAACGTACCCGCAAAATAACGTCTGGCATGACGTTCTTGTGGTATAACACGACAATCCAAAAACCATGCTTCACCCCATGCCAAAACAAATGAGGTTATAATGAGTATCACTTCAAATACTTGTGGGGTGGCTTTGACCCACTAAAAATATAAATAATTACAATTTGGGCTTAAGAATTTATGAAAGTATTTTTTAAGTTGCCACTTACATCAAAAACAAATACTTTGGAAATTAAAAATAAACATGAGCCACTTGTTGATAACTGAAATAAAAAAGAAAATTTTATAATTTATTTTTCTAAATAACTGTTAGGTTTAGTTCCTTACCGCTATAATAAACCAATTATTTACATATAATAGAGCATAGAAAAATATCAAAACTACAAAACGGCATATTGCTGCTGCCACAACATCAAACAGCGAGGCTTCAATGGTATAATGGACAATTTGTTTTTGCAGGGCCACAAAGATATTGTCGCCATTTAGCTAGCAATAAAATACGCAATACAATTAAATATATATTAAAAAAGATTTTGAAAACAAAAACTCACCATAATACATATTAACCACAGCAGTGAGACGAAAAATAAATCAAATGTTACAAATAGGCAGAAAAATCTACGCACCACTGACATGCGACCATCTTGCATATAACCACCAAGGAATTCTTCGGTTATTAAATTAATGGAATGAGTACGGGCTAGAATATAATGTACATTATCAATTAGATTTTATAAAAAAATGAATTGCACTTACAAATATCATAGGGAATATTGCCGCCACCTCTAGACTGCATAGCACGCGCTTGATTAATTAGTAATTCGGCAGCACTGCGTAGATCTTCGGAACTGTTTTGTGACATTATGTTGTGGCTGAAATTTGCCTTCAGCACTTCATGGCTTCTGTATTTGTTATTCTAAAATGTTGATTTTTTTAAATACTGAACTGTAAGAAAAAAAGATATATTGATAAAAAATAAATGGCAAACATGCAATTTTGTGTTTAAAAAAGAAGTAGTATTGGCTTGGGTTTGGTATAAACAGTTATCGAAGATTAACCTTCTTGAACCACAACAATATGAACTATCACTTATCAAGTGAATATAATTTGCTGACCATACGACAGACCGGCTACAGTGGCAACCAATGAAGACCTTTAAGTGGAAATTATCGACAGATCTGACCCAGCGATAGTCACTGGATGATTTTTGAAATTGAAAAATTTGGGGGTTTGTCAGTTTTGCATCGCCTTTAAAAAGGTGTCAATGTTATAAACTGAACAATGGAGTGGATGGTTTTGGCACACTTTGGGAAGGAACTAAACTTTTTGCGTTCTCCTTAAGAATCCTTCCAGAAAAAATACTTACTTTGTCAACCCTTCGTGGACAAAGAACTACTGCTGAAAATCTTAGCCCTTCAGAATTCCAGTCTAACACCTTGTATCGAGGTCGGAGGCATGGTTGCAAGAGTGTAGGTTGTTCCCTCTGGGGTCAATAAAAAGTTAGCCAAGTTTGGAAGAGATGAATAACATTGAACAAAATAATGGTACAAATGTAGAGGTAGGTGTTTTTAACCTAATTATAGAAATGTATTTTTTCTTGGGGGACGTACCCGGTTATTTGACCCGGAAGTTCGGGTACGAGTACCCGGTTCTAATGGAACCAAGTTCGACTTTTAGGGAGTTTTTCAAAAAAAAAAAAAATCGGGTCCATAACCCAGTTTTCTGTTTTTCCAAAAATGGTTTGAGATAACCCCTTTATATCTTCCGGGTTAAAAACCGGGTAGGTTAGGTTAGGGATTTGCAGTCACTGAAGTGGCTGTAGTCACTAAAGTGGCTGCAGCACTCTGAGACCGTTAGGTCCACTGTGATCATCCACGAAAAGAAAAATATATGTGGAGAGTAAAGAAGGGGGGATAGAGAGTGATGAAAAGCTTACAAGGAAGTGTGAGAGGGTTAGTATGAGGTAGTATCTATATATATGAGATAGTATCTATAGAGATGGGACAGAAGATATATTACGGGCCAACGTTGCACTTTCCAAACCACTTTAGGCTATAGATTAGAGCAGGTTCCCTGCTTCACTGGTAAAGGCTCTGATATTGCAATAGCCAGTATTGAATCTTGTCATTACTCTTATTTCAGCTTTGCTCAGGTTCAACAGTGAGCGTGTACTTTAAGTGGAGAGAGTCGGCCAAATAGATCTTAACACATTGCACCTAGGTTCGTTGAGCCAAAGTTCATAGGCTCTTTAGTCGAAGAACGCCTCAAAGTCTCGATAATGATGACATATGGGTGGTTTGCCATCAATTGCCAGATCTGTATATTGAGGTCCTCGTCTAGCTAATTCCTCTGTTATTTTATTACCCATGATGTCACGGTGTCCTGGTACCCAACACAGCCGATAGCTATAAGTTAGTTCTTCCAAAACTGTTCTACACTTGAGGACGGCCTCAGATCTCTGCATCGAGACTTTTTATTAATTCCACTGCCTTCCGAATAGCGAAGATTTTAGCTTGGAAAAAACTACAGTTGCTATCCAGAGTGTAGGTAAGCTCAAGGCCTAGCCTTTCACAGTAGACGCTAGCCCATGTACCTTCGTCCATCTTGGATCCGTCTGTATAGAAAGCCAGACCGTCCAGAGGACGGTTACTCCGGTTCCAGTCGTCCCTACTAGGAATAACGACATCTACATCGTCAAATCTCAAGACTGATGATATATAGTCGCTTAGTTTTAAGCGTTGTTCCAATGTCTTGCCGGTTCGTTCAAAATAAAACCATGCCCAAAGGTACATCTTCTTCAAAGATTTTGTTCTAGCAGCCTTAGGGCACTACGTTCGGCCTGACACTTAATGCTGAGGCCTAGAGGCCTTAAGTTCATCATTGCGTTCAGAGCTGCTTGTGGGGTGCTCCTCGTAACTCCTGTATCTAGTTTGCTGGATGTCGTTCCACCAAACAAGATAACCATGGGAATGGATGGGCCTAACCACGGTGTTATTCAACTTTTCCCAATGGAATTCTTGCTTGCATAGAGTGCAATCAGCCCTCTCTTCGCCCGTTCCTCAGCGTTCCTGTTCCATCGTAATTGACAGTCCAGGACTGTACCAAGGTACTTTGCTTCGGATGCACTTTATCCAGTGTTGGTGGAGACAGACTCCGAGCTTACGTTTCCTAGTGAAGATTACAAGTTCCGTTGCATGAGATGACCTTAAACGAAATTTCCTCCCAAACAATTGTTCCCCCATTTCACATATGATCCTCGTTTATGCAAAAAAAAAAAAGAAAAAACAAAAATGTTTACATAAATGCAACCCTAGCAGCGGTCTGTCTGATCACCCATTTATCCGCATTGATAAACAAATTTTTGGAACTCAGATTATCACTACATTGTAAACATGGAATATTCCTTTTAATGCTTAATTTGTTTCATTTCCGGCGAAGGCGGGGTGTGTTATGCCCGTATGTCTTTATTTCACTTCAAATATGATTTTGCAATGCACTTTTTTTATTGCAGCTGATAATAACAAAAAAACCTCGCCGAAACAAATCAAATGTGTGTCATTGTTGGGAGAAGGTTGCTAGCATTTATTTAGAAGTTTCTTTGTTATCAGATTGTGTGAATGTACAAGCGTCGAAACATAGTTAAAATTGTACAAAAATCTATGCAGGAAGTTCCATCAAATATTCACTTTATTATTTTATGAGGGAATATGTACTTTCAAAACACTTTCCTTCATACCTTCTTTGGTTGCTTTTATTATTATTTACCACACACTACAATTCAATATTTTATTGGTATTTTTTTTATTGTATAAAACTTGAGCTAATCATTTGTTTATTTAGTTTAAATTTACAAAAGAAATGTTCCTCTTTTTGTTTTTGGAAAAGCTAACAATGAAAAAACAAAAGTATTTTCCAATTAGAACTGGGAGTAAAGTAATTACTTCAAGTGCAGAGAGCGAGAAATTCTTTAAACATATGCTTCTTCTTGTTAGTTTGTGCTATGCATAGTGGGATGATGACATGTCATCGTGAATTAAGTAATGCCTACTCAGAAAGATAGACAAATAACGTTCTTTAAATCGCTTAAAATTATTCATGGTAGGCCATAGCATAGTTATTACCATGGTATAACTATTACAAGGTAGGGCACAGCTACCAACTGATTACAATTTTTTCTCAAGGTGGCTTGTTCCATCAAATCAAAATACATACTTTGTGTATGTATGTGTATTGTTTTGAATACAATGTCAAATAAATTCAAAAGAAATTGAAGTATATTCAATTTTAATTAAAATGAAAATGATGTTATTAACGCGTCCGTCTGGAACCAATTACTTTGTTATGGATGAAAAAATGTTTCATATTTCCTACTGGATTTTGGAAACAAATCATAACATTTCATTAACGTTTCTCGTTTTTAGTTATGTGTTGAAAAAACACAACCACTTATATTATATACACAACCATTTATATTATATTTGGCAGAAGAAGCCACTACCTTCATAATTGTTTTTTATTTATTTTATTTTTTTGTTATTCACCTCAATCTGCCCTACCATGTTTTATTATTGCAACTTATAAATTAAAAGATCATTTAAATACAATAGGAAATTCAGGATTTATAGTACGTTTACATTTAACCGGATTTCGTTAATCCAGTGGGTTTTGATTGCCAATTGCTTTACATATATGTCAAATAAATCCTTATAAAGTAGGTTAACCCGGTAAAAAGTGTCAATGTACATGCCGTTTTAGTGCTGTATCATCTTTTATTTCCTAAAACCGGCACAATTTTGCGCCATTTACCATTTATACTATAAATTTAACAAAAAAAAAAAACTGTATGAAGATGTTTAATATTTTTTTGTTTAAATTCAAATTTGTGCATCGATTTCAAAATAACAGGAGCATGATAATTGGTCGTGTAATGCCATGTTCTGACGGTCATTCGAGCAACGTAGTTCGCTCTCAGAATTACGTACATGAATTAACCCGTTCACACAACACTATTCTTAATTCATGTCATCAGAGTTTTCTTTATCAAATTTCTTGTTTCTCCTTTTACAGCGAAATCTCAACTTATTTGTGTGTATTACCTATGAATTTAAATAGAATTTTTTTTTCTTTATTCTGAATATAATAAGAACCCATATCTAAATACTTTTCATTCATGTTTTCCATTTTTTCTGAAAATGTTTTCCATTTTTTCTGAAAATGTTGTTGTTTTTAATACATTTTTATATTTTCTCAATTCAAATGTCACATATAAAAATTTGGAAAATTTTTTGTTTGAGTTTCCCCACATTTGTTTCTTGTTTTGTATGCTAATTAGAACCAAGAAAAAAGAAATGCATATTCCATTATGTAGAAAACAAAATTTACATTCTACTGCATATATAAAATCTATACAATTTATTGCTTTTCATTCATCATTTTCAATTTTTCTGAAAAAGTTTGAAAATTTTATAAATATTTTCATGCTGTCAAAATTAATTTATTTTCGATAAATACTCTCAATTGTTAGGGATGGGACAAATTTCTTAGTTATTCAGAGAGTGATTCGAATTGAACATGGCCTATAAATAAGGTCACCAAGGGAGACCAGCTGATTATCGATACCTCTCAAGTTTGCTGTCAAAATGCATTATTGTGAATTGACTTCCATTATGAAAACGAAAACAAAGTCGAAATTTTTGACATTAGACTTGAGAAAAAAACAGCTGTTTTCCGATTTCGATTGCTATCTTGGTGACCTTATTAATAGGTCTTGGAATTGAACAACGTACAAAAGTCGGTGTTCGCTCAGACAATTTTGTATGGGGAACTAAGTAATTACTTCATAATTAAGGGTCGAACAACGAATGAGAGAGCGAAC